AATTTTTATTTTCGGAGCTGGAGAAAAGGAAAAAAGGAAAAGGATTGACGATAATTTAAATATTTTCGGGAAGGGGAAGGCGGAGAGAAAGGGGAAGGGGAAGGGTAAGAAGGAAGGTGGGGGTGAAAAAAAAAGAAAAAAAGTTGAATATAAATCAATTTGAAATTCGTTCAAATTCGATAAAATTTAAAACGCCATTTTCTTTTTTTTCTTTTTTTTTCCATTTATTTTTTCCTTTTTTTTTTTCTTACTCTCCCTCTCCCTTTCTCCCTCTCTCTCTCTTTTAAAAAAAAAAAAAGAAAACTACGATAAAAATTGGTGTTTAGCAGAAACAAAAAATAAAAAATAAATAGGCAATTTGGTCTAAAATTGAAATAAAAAAAAAAAAGAAAGAAAAAGTTATTCTTTGGAAAATTTTTTTTTTTTTTGTCATTATAGCTTTGAAAAAAAAAAGAAAGTGGAAAAAGTGAAAGAAGTGGAAGCAGTAGAAGAAGTGGAAGAAGAAAAAGAAGAAGCATCTGGTCGGATTCAATTTTAATTTGGTTTCTAATTCAAAATGGCCATTCAACCGCGAATAAAATTCTTCTTTCATCGTTCAATTTATTCATAACCACATTGATAAATAGTTAAATTTTCAATATTAAAACCCTAATGGGAAAAATAATGTACGTGTCCTACCCTCCCCCGCCCTGCTCCATCCCCCATTTTTTCCCCATCCCCCATCTATCTCTCTTTTCAATAATAATAATAATAATGATACGCTTGCGTAAAAAAAAGGGAGAGAAATAATAATATTAATAATATGTAACATCGGAAAATTTTTTTTTTTTCGACGACTTCCGTTGTTGTTTTTTTTTAAGCTTTGCAATAATGAATGAATGAATGAATGAATGAATGAAAATATTTTTTTTTTTTGTTCTATTTTAAATATTTAAATTGGATTTGCATTTGTTAAAGAAACCTTTCAAAAAATGTTTATGAAAAACAAAAAAAAAAAAAAAAACGTAAAATGAATGAGACTAAAATAACTAAATTAAACGTGAAAGAAAAAAAAAGTTTAATTTAAAAATATAATAATAATAATAATAATAATGATATATATTCATCAGTATGTTTTTTTAACGAGAGGAAAAAAAATATATATATTCCAGATTTTTTTTTTTTTTTGTTATCACGGCGAATTTTTTTTAAAAAAAAAAAAAAAAAAAGGCGGTAAATTTAAAAATTAAATTTGCAGTTGACAGAATAATTTTTTTATTTTTTTTTGTTTTGTTTGTTTTTATTTTTTTATTTTTTCCAGGTTCGTGCACGTTTTGTTTTTTTTTTTTTTTTTTGATTACATAAAAGCCACCGATTTCTAATTAGGAAAACGGAGTAAAAAAAAAAAAATCACACAAACACACACACATACACGTACGGTAAAAAAAAAAAAAAGGAATCCTTCCGCGTCATAATTCTTCTTTAGAAACGTCGGAAACTGGAAAAATAATAGAACAAAAAGAGAGAGATAGAGAGAGAGAAATGGACGAAACATGAAAGTGAGAGAGAGAGTGAGGATCGATGAAATATTAGCATTCTATCCTTTACAAAAAGGTGGATCATTCGACTAATAATAAAGTTTCCCTAAATCCAGGTCACGATTCCTGTAAGTTTTTTTTTTTTTTTTTATTCTTCCTTTTCATTGTCTTCGTCTCTTCCAATACAAACAAACACAAAAAAAAGTGAAAATTATTATTATTATTATTATTATTATTATTATCATTATAACTTGACAAACTTTTCGTTTCGGATCTTTTACAAATTGTTTATGTATAAAAAAAAAAAATTTAAAATTTAGTTAGTTATTCTACCAATCATAACTTTTCGATTTAATTTAACTTTATTAATAATTACAAGAAAGGAAAAAAAAACTTTTTTTTTTCCTTTTTTTCGTTTCCTTTGAATTTATATTGATTAATAATCGATCGATATCAATCGAAATTTTTTTTATTATTTTTTTTAATTTTTAACTCTCTATTAATTATTTTTGTATCAATAACGAAAAGTTTTTTTTTTCGAGTTAGAAATAAATGTGTTTTTAATAATTGATGGTATATCCGGTTTGTTATCTGACACACGTTTCCGTTTTGTTTCTCTATGGCAACCCGTTTTGAGTTTGTATCTTTATAAAAATTATTTTTGGCTCCCCGAAAAAAAATTCTCAGTTAAATTCGATCGTTTTTTTTCTTTTTTTAAATCCCTCGTTTAGAGCCAACATTTTTCACACACACATCCCTCTCTACCCCCACCCCCCCTCTTCCCCTTCCTCTCTTTTCTCACACTTTTCCTGTCAATTTCATCAAAAAATTTTTATTTTTTTTTTTCATAAGCAAATTTTTTTTTTCTTTTTTTATTAAAATTCATTTATTTTTATATCAATGTCATTATTATTATTATTATTATTATCATCGTCGTCGTCGTTTTGTTATTATTATTATTATTTTGTTTATTCCAAAAAAAAAAAAAAATAAATAAAATAATAAATAAAAATAATAATAATAAGGAGAAGAAGAAAAAAAACAAGAGAAAAAAATTAAAAAAAAAAAAAAAAATTAAATTTATTGTATAAGAATTTATGTAAAGTGAATTTTTAAAAAGGAAATCAAAAAGGAAAAAAAAAATTCCTTTGAATTTATTATAAGAATTAAAAAGAATGAAATAAAGCAAAAAAAAAAGAAAAAAAAATTAAATTAAATTAAATTAAATTTAACTTTTCGTTAAATAAAAAAAAAAAAAATTTAGGCGGGAAAAATGGTAATGGGGGGGAGAGTGGGGGTCGTGAAGAGGAGTAGGCGAGGGGGAGGAGAGGAGGGAAGGGAAAGAAATAAAAAACAAAATGGGCGTACGGGTATGTTGTTGTTGTTGTTGTCATCGTCGTCGTTCTCGTCGTCAATAAACAAAAAGTTCTTAATAATGTTTAAAAATAATTAAATTCCAAAGGATTTTGCATTTTTTTATTTTTATACATATATTGTATGAATGTGTATACATACACATAAAGTGGGGAGAGAGGGGGAAGGAGTGGGAAGGAGAAGGAGGGAGAAGGAGGAAGAAGGAGGAAGGAGAGGGAAAAAAAAACTAATTTTAAATAAAACTTTTTTTTTTATTAAAAAAATTCCCAAGCCAATTTTAAAAAGTTTCATCATTTTTACTCGTAAAATAGATAAAACAAGTTTTAAATGGCGGGAAAGAAAAGAGAGGAAAAAAAAACGTCTACTGCCACGATTATGATTCAACACGTGACTAAAAATAAATAAATAAAAAAAAAGTAAAAAAAAGTTAAAATTGCGAAATTAAAAAAGAAAAAAATTAATGGATTTTTATTTTTAGATTTTTTTTTTTAATTTTCGAGAATGACGGTAATGATGACGATGATGATGACGATGTTGATGACGTCTAAGAGAAAGTGAAAGAGGCGCGAAAATTGCAAATAATAAAATTTATATATTTTAATAATTTGTAAAAAAAAAATTTTTTTAATTAAATTATATAGAAACCTTTTTTTTTAAATGAATGGAAAATGTAGGACACAAAAAGGAAAAAAGGAAAAAAATTTACAAAGAAAGTTATTAAATGCAACAACAAGAGAAAGAGAAAAAGGGGGAGAGAGAGAGAGAGAAAGAGTAAACATGTAAAAAAAAAAAAATTTGTCTTTTTTAAATTAAATTTACAAAACAAAAAAAGTCTTATACATTGTTTTATCATTTATTTTAACGTCTTTTTTTCTTATCCGAAATTAATGCGCCCTCTTCCTTTTCCTCTCCTCCTCCCTCTCCCCTCGTTTCTTTTTTTTTTTTAATTATCTTAATTTTTTTTTTGTTTCAAACCGTGTATAAAAATGATTTATAATTTTGTTGTTAATTAGATAAAAAAAATAGAATAAAATTTTTTATTATTATTAACCGGACGCCATTAATTTTACGTTAAGTAAAACGAAAAAAAAATGGCGGTACAAAAATTTTGCATTTAACAAAGGTTTTAAAAAAAAAAATCGATTTCGATGACGCCAGTTATAATCAAAACATACATAGAGGAGGAAGGGGGAGATTTTTTTCGTTGGAGGGAGGGGCGAAAGGGTTGAGTTGTAGGTACCGAAAAAAAGAATTTTTTATTTATATATAGATGAGCCGATGATATCAGATTTCGGTTAAAAAAAAAATTCCATCTGCAAAATCAGCTTTTTCTTTCAAGGGAGAAGAAAAAAGAAGCAAATCGTACTTAATAAAAACTTGTTTCATCAGCCAAAAAAAAAAAAAAAGAAAATATAAGGAGAAAAAGGGTTTGAGTAAAAGAAGTAAATGAACCCTAAAAGAAAAATGAAACTTTTCAAAAATTTAGACGAAATCATTATTGAGAAATTGAGTTAGAAATTTTAAAAGAGAGTGATAGACGAGCAGAAGAAAAAACAAAAAACAAAAACAAAACGAGAGAAAAAGTGAAATTTTTTTTTTTTAATTAAAAATTTTTTTTTTGTTTTTACGTATAAAAAATAATTATAAATCTAAATCTATCGATGTATCGATCTATTGATCCATCGATCGATCGATCGATCGATATGTTTCGATAAAATAAAAAGAAATAATAATAATAATAATATAAGTTAACTTGAAACGTTTTCGAAACGCGATATTTTATTTTTCTTTTTCCTTTCCTTTTATTTTTTCTTTTTGGATACAAAAGTAACTTTTAATCAAGAAACAAATAAAAGAAAAAAGATACTACGACGACGACGACGACGACGTCGATGACGTCGACGATGACGTCAAAAGAAAACAAATAAACTAGTAATGATTTTTAATAATAAAAAGGAAAAAAAAAAAAAAAATTAAAAAAAATTTTTTTTTTGTTCAACATTTGATGATGGATTAAGGGAGGAGAGGGAAAGGGGAGGAGGGGAAGAATTCTTTTTCTATTAATCGAAATTTATATTATCGTTATTAATCGATCATTCGATAACTCACCGACTACGTTAAGAGTGATAAAATGACTCATTTTTGGCTCCGTTGATACTTGGCATTCGTATCTTCCAGCATCTCTGGCTTGTACGTATTTAACTTGTAGCGTCCACGTGTCGGTTGCTTCGACCAAAAATGCTTGAAATCTTTCGTCTGCTATGAACGTGTAACGATCAACTGTTAAAATGTGAGCATCTCTTCTTCTTATCCACGAAACCTTATCGCGAAACAAGAAAAATTTTTTTTTTTAATTATTTAAAAAAAAAAAAATCAAATTTCCGATCTTGATTGGATGTGATAAACGTAAACAATCCATAGAGTAATTAAACCTCGTGTAATTAAATAAAATAAAAATGGCGACCATTTGGATTTTACTTTTAAAAAAAATTTCGTAGATTGGAAAAAGAAAAAAAAAAAAACCGATGATGAAAGATGATAATAATGATGTTTCTCCCCACGAAAAAGTTCTAGAAAAAAAAATAATAAAAAAAATGGGCGGCGGGGGGGGGGAAAGGTCAATACAAGAAAACAAAAATTTATAAAAGTAAACATTTGAAAAAAAAAAAATTTATTTATTTTTTTTTTTTTTTTTATGATGAAAAAAACTATTGATTACAGGAAATGCGTAGTGTCATGTGACTTGAAAGTATTTAAACAAAAGGAAAAGGAAACGAGAAAGGGGGGCTGAGGAGGGGAGAAAAGGAAAAAAAGAATAAACGAAGTAATCAATATAATTGAGAGGAAAACAAAAAAAAAAAAGTGAAAAGAAAAGCAAATTGAAGGAAACGGAAAAAAAGTGAAATTAAGAAAAGAAAAATTTTTTTTTATATATATAAATATATGAAACTAAAATAAAAATGTTTTCTTTTTGTTTGTTGTTTGTTATCTATTAAATAACAACCGGAAAAAAAAAAATTTTTTTTTCTATTTTTAAATTAAAAAAATAAAAACACAACTGGTTTTTTTTTTTTTTGTTGAAAGAATTTCATACGTTGCGAAAAAAAAAATTATTGATGACGTCATGTCACGTCACGAGTAGAATTCTAATTCCACGTTAAAAAATAAATTTACTCACGGATTTATTTCCTAATTGTTTTACTTTACATGGAAGATATGCGTGAGTCCCCAATTGCGTTGTTATGTTATTCGGTGTCGACGAATCGAAATACGGTCCTGTATACAAACCGGAAAATCTTTCCATTTGATGGTGCAAAGTGCTTTGAAGCGATGTCGTCCCATCAAAACCATAAACTATAATTAAAAAAAAAATCACGTTATTATTATTATATTAATAATAATGGCGATGACGTCACAAGAAAAAAAACTATCACGTCAAAGAGGTGGATTTTCTTTTCGTCGCGAGCTTTTGACTTTCCTTCCACGTGATTCCACTCGTGCCTTAAAGTGTTTATCTTCCTCTTGAATGACCTCACCGAATATTTTCTATCCTTTTTTTTTTTATTATTATTTCCACTTTTCTTTTTTTCATCTAAAAAGGACGGGGGGGGGTGGGGAGGAAAAATGCGAAAGAATTTTCTTCTTTCCATTTCACCTGATTTTCATCCGTTGTCAGTTATCTTTAAATTGCAGTTCTTTCCTTTAAAATTACTTTTTTTTTTTTCAAAACTCAAAAATTCAACGAACGAAATAATCTTTTTCCGACTACTCTCCATGTCTCTCTCTCTCTCTCTCTCTCTCTTTCTCTCTCTTTTCCTTTTACGTCTCCAAATAAAAAAAAAAAATTTAATATTTTTATATAAAATTTATTAAAAAGGAAAACAACCGCACATTTTGTATATTGCATCGTAACATTTATAAAAAAAAACGTGTTTCGTGTAAACGTGTAATTAGATATTTCGTGGATGTAAAAAATATATATATATAGATATTTACGCTTTTTAAAAATTACAAAATTTTCCTTTTTTTTTTTTTTTTTAATGTACGGATAAAATTTAAAAAAAAAAGAAAGAAAAAATTTATGATAAACATTATGGAAAATTGATGGGTCGGTGGTAGTTGTTAAAATTTTTTTTTTTCCCTCTCATGATGGCAACCCTGTTTTTTTTTTTTTCGCTGCAAATTTTTCTAATCTTGATGTTGGGAAAAAAAAAATTTTTTTTTTGTTTGTTTATTTTTTTTTCGCATTAAATTAATTACGTCACGAAAAAAAAGAAAATTCTTGCGAATTAAGTAAATAGTTATTATACGACGACGACGAAAAAAAGGTTAACGCGAAAATGCTTAAAAAAAGGAAAAAAAAAGGTTTAAAAAAAAATATTTAAAAAATGTTTCGGAATTTCGTTTTTTTTTTTTAAATAAGAAAAAGAAAAAGAAGAAAAACTCAGATTTATGGTTCTTTTTTTTATTTTTGGAAGCAGAAGATAATGAATAAAGAATAAAAAAAAAAAAGGAAAAGTTTTGGAATTTTCCAGTCGAGAAAAAAAAAATATATATTTCGCGTCGTAGTCGTACGAATGGAATATATATTGTTTTTTTTTTTTTTGTGATAAGAAAAATAATTGAATGCGTAATCAACGTTTTTGCTGGAGAATCATTATCGAATCGTACGTAAAAAATATTATAAATGAAAAAATTATCATTATTATTTCCTGTAAAACAGAAAAAAAAACGATTAACAAAGTTCTCCAGCGCGGTTTTTTTTCGCGTGCATTATCATATTATAATACGTTAAAAGACCCTCGAAGCAGTAAAAAAAAAAAAATTTTCTTTTTTTTTTTATTTATTTTTCCAGCAGCAAAGCGAGTGAATTAAGGAAAATTACTTCTTCTCCAGCATGTCCGAAAGCTAAAAAAAAAAAAAATTTTTTTTTTTTTACAACCATCTAAATTTTTAACATAAATTTCTCCTCCAACATCCCCCCTCCTTTAATGATATGTGAATAAATTTTTTTTATTGCCGGATTATATATCTTTTTTTTTTTTATTCTACGCTCGTTTTTTGATGTAAAATAAAAAAACCATACTCTGCGTATTACGCGCGAATTTTAAATAAATAAATAAATAATTATTTATTAATTTATTTATTTAATCAATAAATAAATAAATAAGTAAAAAATCTGAGTTGATTCTAATTACACGTCTTTTGCTTGAATGACTTACAGCACTCCTATCGGTGAAAATTAGAAATAGGTAAAAAAGAAAAAAAAACTTTTAATTTATTTTATTATTTTCCTTTTTTCCTTTTTTTTTCAAATGCGAAATTATTATTATTATTATTATTTTTTATTACGTTTTAAACATTCAAAGCCATTTTTATTTTGTTTAAACTAAATTTAAAAACAAAATTTATATATATATATATTTAAAAAAAAAAAAAAACTTTTGCAACACATTTTATTGAATATAATAATTTATAAAATTATATTTAATTTTTCAATGAATATTTAATGTTTAAACACGTTTTAGTAATTTTTATAATAAAAAACCCCGAGAAAAACTTTTTTTTCTTTTTTACTAACGAAATAATAATAATAATAATAAATTTATTACGAGGGGATTGTGTAAAAAAAATTTTTGTTTAAAATGATTTTAAATACGAGACAAATTCAATATAAAGTAACAAAAAAAAAAAAAATTTTTTTAATTTATTAAATTATCGAACGATAAATCGATCGATCGATCGAGAGTTTGAAATAAAAAGTAAACGAGCGCAAATATCAAAAATATTTTCTCTATGTTTATTTAAAAACGATAAATTTTAATAGAAGGATTCGAATATCCGGTTATTCGGTCATTTTGAAAATTTGGTAAACCTTGTAAATAAAACAGGAAACCGCAAATGTAATAAATAAATAAATAAAAAATTATTAAAAAAAAAAAAAATTGATTTTAACTCTTATTGTACGAATATTATTATTATCAATTTTTTTTTTGTTAAACCAGGAGAGAAATGCATTTTCCACTAATTTCCCCATCCGGTGGTAAGGAAAGTGTGGGGGGACTAAGTCAAACCCACTACCCAACTAAAACTCCCGGACGTGTTTCATCGTGTTCTTTTCCGAAGGTGGCGTCAACCCTTTTCTGAGCCAGAACCATCAGGTTTCCCCCTAGGAAGATCCCGGTACTTCCCCTTTTTACCCTTCAAGAGACAATCCCGATCTGTTCCTGCCTCATCCGCAGAATCTGCGAGATGTTCGGGATCTGATTCCCGTTGATCTGTCCTCCTTTCATTTTCTCTATTTGGATCTCGTACTCAATTTCACCCCTTCGAACAAAGGTCGGCGCATTCCCAAGGCATTGAAAGGGTGCTAGGTCAGTTATGCCCTTATGCAGGTACAGGTTTGTTCTTGTTTGGACGAGATGAAATTGAATTCACGAAGCTCAACTCGGTGACTTTTGGACCAATTTTTCCCTTTTTCGAATTCAACCTGGCTACCTCGGTCTCCCCCAAAGCATCCAAATTAAAGATTTACCCCTAGCAAACCCCTCCAATCCCAAACCTCCCCTCTTAAAACATCCCCCACTTAACCTCCGATTAGTTGGATTACAGGAATACACCACCATCACTATCATTACTCCCAACTAACTGCCTTAATTCCACCATTTTCTTTTTTCTTTTTTTTTTTCTTTGATGAAAATAAATATAATATTTAAAGAGAAAGAAAGAAAGAAAGAGAGAGAGAGAGAGAGAGAGAGAGAGATAGAGAAAAGTTTTAAAAGTTATATTATTATATTTTATACGAATGGAAACATTTGTATGAGAAAAATGTACGCAATATCCGATCGTGCATGTTAACTTAAATTTCAACTTATAAATTTATATTTGAATTTCTGCCTATGTATATATTTATTATTAAATAAAAAATAAAGGAAATCAATGTAAATTTTTTTACATATATATATTATTATTATTATTATTATACGCCATACGAAATCGTACGTGCATGCACGCGCACACGCATGCACACACGCACGCACGCACGCGCTCATAATAATTTTTTTGTTTTTTTTTTTTTGTGGTTTCATGACTTATTATTATTGTTTACGTATAATTTTCGTTGAAAAATATTAATCCCCCCCCAATTCTTAAATTTCTATTATTATTATTATTAAACGTTATTACTATTTGTAATGATATTATTATTATTATTATTATCATTTAAAAAAAAAAAAATTCGACGTTGATGTTAACAATCGATCGAGTTTATAAAAAAAAAATCGTGGTTATAGACACGAATTAAAAAAATAACAATTATAGATTTTAAAATGAAATATTGTATGTAATTTCTTATGAAAAAAAAAATAGTTTTTTCGTATCCGTTTCCGTTTCCTCTTTTTTTCTTAAAAGTTCTTCTACAACTTCCTTTTATCCTAACATTAAAATTAAATGTAAAAATTTTTTTTATTTTATTTCCATTTCGTAACTTTTTTTTTTTTTTTTTAATATTAAGCGTTCTTATTTAAAACTTTTTTTTTTTTTTTTAAACCCTGGAGAAACTTTTTCAAATGTCAGGAAAGCTCCCCTCTACCCTCTACCCCCTCTCCCCTCTCTCCAAAAAAAAAGTAAAAGAAAAGAAAATTAGAAGAAGTAAACCAACCGGATTTTTCGGTCGCATTTTCCTTTTTTTTTGATTTCTAACTTTAAAAATTAATTTTATTAAATTTTCTTTTTTTTTTTTTTTCTACTTTTCTGCTTTTCTTTTCTTTTTCCGATCCTTTTATTATTACGTAAAAAAAAAACTCGCCATGATGATGATAATAATAATAGTAAAATTGACGTGAAAAAAATTTAAATAACGAAACTCGATACGTTAAAAATCGACACGCAAAAAAAAAAAAAAAAAAAAAACAAAAAAAATGTTTTTTGTTATGTTATAAAACATAAAAAACACAATTCGAAAACTTTTTGTTTGTTTGTTTTTTATTCTTTCGCAAAAAAAAAAAAAAAATTTTCCATCAAGTTTTCCTGCATTTTTTTTTTTTTGGATACGTTTATATTTCTTCTTCCACGACGACGGAAAAAAAAGAACAAAAAGTTTTCTAATTACGTACGAAATTTCTAGAACCTTAAGCTTTTAAGCAATAAAACAAAGGATTTTTTTTCCTACCCCCCCCCTCCACTCTCACCCCGCCCTCAAACGATTTGAAAAAAGTCCGCACCGCCGTAAGAAACATCAATAAAAGATAAAAAAAAAAAGAAAAAAAGTCTGGAGGAATTTTCTCCCTGGAAAATTAAAAAAAG